TACTGGGCTTAACCACCAAAAAAACGCCACCTCAAGTGGTATCTTAAAGTACACTAAGGCAGGCCTTTTCAGGGGAGTGGGCATTCTTGTTGGGGGGCTGAGAACAGCAAATCCTGCAATATTGTGTTAACCCTAAACCCTAAATCGCCGTCGCTGGTCATCCTTTGGGGCCGCCTGCAGCCACAGCCGCATCCATGAGAGGGTGGGAGCAAAGGTCCAGACCATTGACTCAAGCTCCAGGGAACAATGCAACGGATACCCTAGATTTACATGAGCTACAGTCTAAAGTCCTTAAAGGGCTAAACTACAGTTCATGTGATCCCCATGCATCCTTTTCTGAAGAGTTTAGTACCTGCAGTAGACCATACTTGGTCAGGGGGACTTGGTAAGTAGGTTAATAAACCCTTTAACCCATATACGGTAACCTTAGTCATCCCCATGATTAACGTACTTTTTAAGTCCCCCTGACCCTCCAAGTAGCCAGCATGTTTTTCCACCCAAAACAGCAAGCCCGCAGGGCCTGGCGCAAGAGAAGCTGCTGGTGGCCATTCAAGAGCACACCCGGAGGCAGTGCGGCCTAAACCCTAAAACCCTGAACACAGTGAAATGGTCACGAGACCTCATAAGTAGATTAAGAACCCCGATAATCCATATAGTAAGCTTATTTATCCCCAGAATCAACCCATTTGTTATGTCCCCCTGACCCTCCAAGTACTGATCACAGACTAGGGATGACAGCAATGGTTTTGTGGGTATGTTAGGGTATATCATGGTACATTGTCGTATATTATGGTATATTATGGTTTCTCATAGCAGTGACAGGTTTTACTTGTGATCGTAGTCCCAGTGCTAGTCACGGCCACGGTACTTCATCTCCGTAAGAACAATAAGAAGTCGTTAGCCTTGAGACAGAAGGCGTCAAGCTTGTGGTGCATGTGCAGTCAGCAGGATTTCTGCGCCTGTTGGTGTAGGTGCCTGGGAGAGAACTTTATCATCTTCCCCACGGCCACAGTCGCCTGCGGCCAGTGTTGCAGCTTGGGGTCAGACTGCTAGCTAGGCAGAACGACGCTGTCTCATTCTTATGGAAAAAAAGTGTCAGGTATGCGGAAAACATTGGTTCTGCTATGAAATTTGCATGACATGAAAGAAACACCAGGCAGGACTGCTCGAAGTTTGGAGCCGTCTTCATCCCACGTTCAGAAGCGCATGAAGTGGCTAAGTCTTTGGGGCGCATGCATCAAATGGTGCACGCTTTCCTTGTTTCCCTGCAGAAACAATCTTGAAGAATCGGGCTCGTTTGCTTCAAGCATGAAACATCTGCACATGATTTGATCCGATCAATTGCTTGCTTTGAACGAGGTTAGGGTTTCATCTCACATGACGCCCCAGCTTTCTTCTTGTGTTGTTGTCATTGCGCTTTGTATAGCCATGAGAACTCTGGTCTGTAGAATCGCGTTTTTGTTTGCCATGTTGCTCCGCCTATGCCTTTCATCATCACCGTTTGCACTGCAGCCTCATTATCGTGCATCCCGTTTGCATGATTTGCTTAGATTTCATGATTCTCGCTCATCCTTAGCGCCGCTCAAACTTGTTCCACAGCTAGATCCATGTAGGATTTCGGGTTAAAAGGTCATGGTTTGGGCTTCAGGTTTGCGATCGATGGCATCAGGGTTTATTGGGGGTTATTTAAGGATCACAAAAGGCTCATAATACAGAGATCATACAGGGATCATATAGGGGTAGAGGCTTTCGGGTTTGAGGTTGAGGCTTCAGCCTGTTGTTGGCCCTTGCGCCAAGTACCCTACCAAACCCTGAATTCTAAACCCCAAGAAACACCCTAAAGCCCAAACTCTAGCAACCAGTAAGTAAAGCCTGGACATATTGTCCAGTCTGTTTTGTATTGCTTTCTTACCCTACTCTCGTCCAAAACCTAGAGTACTCTTTCATGACAAATCTTATTGATCATGATATTCTCAACACTGGTTACTTATAATATTCTCAATGTAATATTGTGGTAATTAAGCCCTACACCCCAAACCATCAACCCCACACCCGAAACCCTCAACCCCAGACCCCAAACCCTAGACCCTAGACCCCAAACCCCGAACCCTAAACCATAAACCCCAGACCCAAACCCTAAACCCTAAACCCTAATGATCATGCCAGGTGGCAGAGCTTTATGCAGACTCCACGCGCAGCACGCCCATCGTCAGATGCCTGGCTGTTTCGGATGCAAATTAGGGGTACCTTTTAAGGGGATGAAGCGGTTATATAGAGGCTCAAAAGAGGGTCATTTAGGGATAACATAGAGTTTGGGGTTCCCAAAATACGGGGTATCTTTTTTGGGGTCCGTACAATATGGATTTTCAGCATTTCAGTGTCCATCTTGGGTTCCCCCTATCTAGTATAAAGGTTATATTGGGGTTATTTTGGGATGATGGAAAATCATAGAAACTACTATTTATGGTATAGGGTTTCGGGTTTAGGCTTATTTAGGGAAATTCCAATTTTGCCGCTTGATGGGCCCTTGTGTCAGCTGGCTGTGACCAAGGTGGCTGTGAGCCTAGTGTTTAGCCGGATCCGTGTTACTTGCAGAACCTCAATTCAGAACTCAGAACGGAGCGTCTCACAATAGAAGCAGTAGAATCCTTGCCTCCTTGCCGCGCTTCAGGTCTTCGTGCTGTCTACCGGCGCAGACCCTACATCCATGTAGCCGGCCCAGATTCCCTGTTGCATGCTGACGGTGCACCTCCACATCTGAAACTGGACGTGTCGTGCTGTTCCCAATGAGGGGTTTTTTGGGGTCCCCATAATAAGGATTAGAATATATATTGGAGTGTACATTGAGGTCCACTAGTTTTGGGAAACTGCCAATAATAGGCCCAACAATCCATCGACAGCCTGGGACGCGCATGAGGTTGCTGCGCTTCGCCCAGGAGTTGGACATGGTGACAAGCTGAGTTGTTGGCTTTTCGTCGTGTGAAGAGCTTAACTCCTGCTGGGCGTTTAGCCGCTCACATGAGCTATAGTCTAAACTCCTATGCGAGGGTTCCATAGAGGGTTATCATTATCCCTATACTACCCGTAATGTTACCCCAATATGCTGTGATCCTCGACCAGGCCTCAACGATGGGCGTGATTTCGCTTGGCCAGGGGCAGGGCCCGAAGGCGTCGGGTTATGTAGGGTTTAGGGTTGTGTTGGAGTCAGATTGGGATAGTGGAAAGGAAAATGGACACTACTATTTAGGGTTTAGGGTTTAGGGTTTCATTGCTTTCATGCTCCAAAGCTGAGAAACAGCAGGAGACCATACCCAACCTCTGCGCTAGAAAGCTTCCCTTACGCGTGTCTACCCTAAACCTTAAGCCCTAAATAGTAATTTCCATTTTCTTTTCCATTATCCCTACATAACCCATATATTCTATCTACTCAAAAGTGTATGGAGGATATAGAGGTATATGTGTTGCCTATGCTGACGCCAGGCTTCTTAGGTAGCCTGGCTTATAGTTGAGTCACCTCAACAGTTTGAAGCCATCCGGTTTAGGGTTTAGGGTT